CTCTGCTATTGTAAATTGTGTCATGGTAGCCTTTGGTATATGGATATCCCTATAGTATGCTGATTTGAGTTGCTTCAGGATATACCAAAGAATGGTATAGTTGGATCAAACAGTAGCCTGAGCTACATAGCAAGACCCTGTCTCAAAAAAATAAACTTTGAGGTTTTTATATATTCTAGATAACAGTCCCTGAGGGAGGAATAGCTGGTATAGATTTTTCTCCCATTTACTTCGTTAGTTGTTCCCCTTTGTCTCAGTTCCTTTTCTCTCATTGCTGGGACAAATCCCCTAGCCTAAAATGAAGGAAGGAAAGGTTTATTTAGCTCACACAAGGGCCGGGGAGATGGCTCAGTGGAATAAGTGCTTCCTTGGCAAGCTCAAGGGCCTGAGTTCAATCCCCAGTTCCACAAAAAAAAAAAATGTATTTAGCTCACAGTCAGTGGAGGTTTCAGTCCATACTTAGCTGGCTCCAACGTGGAGTGGCATATGGTAGAGAGCAGCTGTTCTCTTGCAAAGAGTGAAAGAACAAAAGGAGGGGCAGCAGTTCAGGGAGCTAGCTAGCCTCTCTCCCCTCCTTACACTGTGAAGTGGATTACCTGCCCCAGGGTAGGTGGGGCAGCACCTACAACCACAAAAATCACAAACTTCAGAAACCACCCCATGACTGCATAAGGCTTTGGGGGGACACCTATACACAAACCATAAAACCCTTGCTCTACAGAAACTTTTAAATTTCATGTAGCTCTATTTGTTGTTTCTTGCTAGTATTTCTTGTATTGTTAGAGTACTACTCAGGAATTCTGCTTATTCATATGGCTTCAAGTGTTTGTTTTCTTTTATCAGTTTCAAAGTTTCAGGTCTTATCCCTTGGTCTTTGACCCGTTTTAAATTGACTTTGTATAGGGTGAGAGACGGGGATTTATTTTTAGTCTTTACAGGTAGATACCCAGTTTTTCAAGCACTGTTTGTTCAAAAGGCTATCTTTTCTCCAACATGTATTTAGGTTTCTTTGGCAAAATTTGTGGTTATACTTGCATAGGTTTTTTTGTGTGTCTTGTATTCTGTTTCATTAGTCTAACTATTTCATGCTAGTACATTCTGTTTTTGTTACTATGGCTTTGTAGTATACAGTAATTTGAAATTATGATGCCTCCAGCCTTGTTCCAAATGAATTTTAGGATTATATTTTCTAGTTCTATGAAGAATATTACTGGGATTCTGATGGGGATTGCCTTGAACTTGTAGATGACTTTTGGTAAGATGGCCATTTTCACAGTGTGCTGCCAATTCATGAACATGAGACATCTTCTGTTTTTTGTTTTTTTTTTTCCTCTTGACATCAGTTATTTTATTTTAAAGAAAAAAAAATAAAAACAATGGCACAAAATCTCAAAACAAGATTTTAGGAGAGCAACAATGGTTAGTACATTGTGTATTGTTACTGCCAAAGTAGTTTCTCATGTTACAAGATGTAGGCAAGAAATAATAAATAAACAACATAGGTACAAACCTCTTTTTTTTTAAAGTCAACAGAAAATGGAAATACACTTTTTAAAGTTTCTAATACTAGAAGATATACAATGTCTTTTAAATAAATTGTGTCAAAGATACAGTATAAATCTTAGAACAAAAATTAAGATTAAGCAATATTCAGAAAATTAAATGTTTCAAAACAATTGAACTAAGAAGAAGTTTTCATGATAGCAAAGAAGTACTAGAGTAAAACATAAGATAAATACTGGAATGGCAAATAAATGACCAGCACTTCTAACAGTTTGAGGATAGGATATCGCACAAAGTTCTAGTGTGTTGTGGACATGCATAACGATGGAGGCTAGGTATCACTTGTGGAACTGACCTACAGCTATTTCTTTGAAATCCACCCTATAGACTCAGGTGGAATCATGACCCATAGGGTGGAAGAGAAGTCCATTTGTAGGGTGTGCTGATGAAAATATTCTGCTGCTGAACACAAAAGAATAACTGAAAGACTACTATTGTATACCTCTTATTCTCCTCTGTTTAATTGTTTGCCCTATTTGGCAGGTTCTTTCCATTCTCATTCATGGGGCTATGATCAACTTGCTCCCTCTCTAGAACATCATTTAGTAGTCTGTGTAGGCTTGGCTTTGTCATCATGAAATTTTTTAGTTGTTCTTTGTCATGAAAATATTTCACTTCTCCATTGTATTTGAAGGAGAGTTTTGCAGGATATATCAGTCTGGGTTGGAATTTGTTCTCTTGCAAGACTTGAAGTACTTTGCTCCATGCTCTTCTTGACTTGATGGTTTGTGAAGAAAAATCTGCCGTTACTCTGATCTGTTTTCCTTTAAAAGTGATCTGTTTCTTTTCTTTTTTTTTAAGATTTTTTTTTATTTATTTATTGTGTGTGTAGTTCACTGTTGTTGTACAGTAGTCCCTTGCTATTTCACAGGTTTGACTTTCACAGACTCACTTTCACAGTTTTTCAAAAAATCTAAATTATTTATCATGGATTTTTTGCCATATCACAAGATTTTGCAGTACCATATACTATACATATGTTGTTAAAATTACATAGGTTTATGATTTTAAAAATGGTTATGAACATAGAAGTGTTTTTAAAAGTGGGAAAGGTTTATAAGAGTATGGGAAGGGTATATAAAGCCTTTAAATATATATAAACACTAAAAATAACATTGCTACTTCACTGATTTTCATTTATTGCAGGGGTGTCTGGAACATAACCTCCGCAATAAGTGAGGGACCACTGTAAAATAAAATACTAATTTTTTGACTGTTATTTAAGAATTAAATACCACATATCATGTACAAACATCCTAGACTGGAACCAATTTGATCATAGTGATTAACATATTTTAATGTGTTGTTGAACTTTGTTGTGAATATTAAGAATTTTTTCATCTGTGTTTATCAAGGACATTGGTCTATAGTTTTCACTTTCATTGTTCTTGTGTCCTTGTCTGCTTTGCGTTATCAATATGATACTAGCCTCATAGAATGAGTTTGTAAGCATTTGCTCCCTTTCTATTTTATGGAATAGTTTAAGGAGTATTGATATTAATTCTTCTTTAAAGGTCTGATAAAATTCACCCATCTATCTGGTCCTTGAGTTTTCTTTACTGGAAAGCTTTTTTAAAAAATTATTACTTCAATTTTATTGCTTATAACTGATCTTTTAAGGTATGCTGTGCACCTACACTCTTCATTTATTTTTGGTAGGTGATATATATCTAGAAATTTATCTTCTAAATTCTCCAGTTTATTAGAATATAGTTTTCTCTAAGTACATTGGACCCTTGATTTATGAACTCAATTTGTTAACATGAACTGATTGTAACTCAAGTTGGTTGTAAGTCAAGATAATTTTTCCCATAAGAAATAATGGAAATATATATAATATGTTCCAAATCTCCCAGAGCACTCCTTAACTACGTTTTCATAATAAAAGGATTGTATAATGTGAGGACTCTGCCAGGAACACTAATAATTTTCCTAGTGTATTCACTAAAAAGTTATTAAATTTGCCTAGTTTACCAAAACCAACAATTTGGTGTTGTGCTCACCATTGATATCTTTGGCAGGAAGGGAGGATGAAGTAGAAGGTACTTATTGTTTGGAAGGAGAGTCCCCTTCCATAAGAACACTAGGAGTATGGTCTCTGCTGTCCTTTCTGTCCTTGGGAGTCTGTAGCCCAGTAGGACCTGCTTCTGGCTAACTAGGTTTCAACCTTTTTAGAACTAAAAAATGATCTAAGGTCTGTTTCTGTCTTTTCTTTAACACTGTTCTGCATATGACATGATATTACCATTAGGTAAGTGAATGTAGTGATTAACCTTTTCTCTCTCTCTGGATGGGTCTTCTCTACAAGTATTTTCTTGCCCTGCCTGTTTGGACTTCTAAATGCCTCCTGTACTGGGTGTCCATATCTTTCCCCAGATTTGGGAAATTTTCTATTATTTTATTTATACCTATGTTCACTAAAGAGATTGAGCTGTAGTTTTGTTTTTTATTTTCCTTATTTATTTATTTTTTAATTTTTTTTTTTTACTTTGCAACCAAATCTTTTATTGCTTTGTTTTAATATTACGAGTGATTTCAGAAAGAGTTTTTTATTCCTTTCGTGCCTAAACATTTTTCAGGTTTTGTTTTGGTTTTTGTTGTTGTTGTTGTTTGTTTTTTACATTTTTCAGTTTTGATTTTGGTTCTGACACATATTCTAGGCAGTCAGTCCCCGGTTCCACATTAAAAAAAAAAAAGATTCTAGGCAGACAGGATGGATTTATTTCTTCCCTAATGGCAGCTTGTTCTTATTGTCCGGATGCAATTCCATTCCCCTCTGAAAATGAAGTAGACTTACAAAAAGGCTTTCTTTTGTTTCTGAGTACTTTGATGGTTGAGAGTTTGTGCTTTTTTAAAATTTTTTTATTTTTTCCATAATTTTATTGATAAAGAAATAGCAATGAGACAGTTTCAAATCAAATTGTTAGGACAGTTTCAATAATTAACACATTGCATACATTCTTCCTAGTGGTTAATTGCTGTACAAGATGCGGACATGATATCCTATTTACAAACACCATTAGAACAAATCACTCTGTTCATTAAGAGAATGTAACTATATATCTATCCTAACCGCTTTGAATACACAGATACAAAATAAATGTACTTTTCTTTTTTAATTGAGTTCTTGCTTGGTTTTGGAATAAAGGTAATGTTAGTTTCCAGGAATGACTTTAGCATTACTCCCTCTCTTTCAACTTTATTAAAAGAGTTTCTTGTAGAATTCAGTGGTGACTCTATCAGGTCCTGGGATTAGTTGGTAAATGCTTAATTACTGCCTCAATTTTATTGCCTATATTGGATTATTCAGAATTTTTTTTGTTCTCTTTTAGTGATTCATGTGTATCTAGGATGTATAGCTAATATGTGTCAAATTGTTTAATATTTGTGCATTGTCATATAACCCACATACTTAAAATAACACTCTTTTATTTTAGGCTTTCTTCTGTACTAAAGTCATATGGAAGTACCTTGAAAACACCATCAGTGGTTTATAGACAAAGACTTTATGAACTATTGATTTTATTACCTCCTGAAACCTATGAAGGTATGTGCTTTAAACCAAAATATTTTATTGGTTGTGGCTATTCTATAGTTGCTTGTTAAATTCCTGAATGAATGCATTATGGCATTTATTTTGGGGAGTTTTTTTTTTTTTACTTTTTGGGGGGTTTTTTTCTGGGTTTTTTTGAGACAGATTTCACTATGTAGTTCAAGCTGACCTTCAACTTCATTAAAGAAATTGGTCTGTAGTTGGTAGAGAGGTTTCATGTGACATTCAACCTTCCAAGTGTATACACAAATAATAACATAAATGTATTATGTTTATGTTTCAACAAAGTAGTAATTTTCTACCTTTACAGTTCTCCTGCCTCAACCTTATACTGGAATTACAAGTATGTGCAGTGCAACCGTGCCCAGCTTGTTTATTACATTTATTTACTATCTTGTTTCTAGAAGGTTTAGGCAATCAAGTCTTTTGTGTTTACACTTTTTGTAGTAAGTAAAATATATTTTTATAAGACCTACTTACTTCTTTGTAGCTTGCTTTCTTCTCTCTGAGAAAAATAAAGTCCCTAATTCTATTTTGTGAAGGAGAATGAGTCACAAATGCTATCTTCATTTTACTCTAGAGTTTATGCTGAAACATTAATGTAAATTTATTATGAGTTTGAACCAGGCATGGTAGTGCACACCTGTAATCCCAGAATTTGGGAGGCTGAAGTAAAAGGATCACCGTGAGTTCAAGGCCAGCCTAGGCTACATAATGAGACTCTGTCTCAAGAAAAACAAAATCCAAATTTAGCTAGCCCTGTTTTCCTTCTGGAGTGGTTACCTATAGTAATCGTTCCTTTCCATTATTCTGTTAGTAACTCTGTCAAGAAAAATGTATAATATTATTTGGTGGCACATGCCTGTAATCCTAGCACTTGGGAGGCTGAAGCAGGAGGATTGCTATGAGTTTGAGGCCAGCCTCAGCTACTTAGTGTATTTGAGGCCAACCTGAACTACCAAAGACCCTGGCAGAAAGAAAGTAGAGGAGGGGAGGGGAGGGGAGGGGAGGGGAAATTATGTGGGAACTTACATATATTTTTTGAGTATTGACAATTTTCAGGCTACCCTGTTAAACTGAATGTTACTTAACATATGTTTCATGTAAAAGTTACTGCATTTATTTGCTGAGGCAAGTCACATGAGTAAGCTGCTATAGTCTCAGGAAAACCTGGGTGCTAGAGGCAAGCCACATGGATAAGCTGTTAGGTAGAGAGGTTTCACGTGACATTCAACCTTCCAAGTATATAGATACACAAATAATAACATAAATGTATTAGGTTTATGTTTCAACAAAAAGTAGTACTTTTCTACCTTTACAACCTAGCAACAGAAAGTTGTTTGTTTCCTACCTTTAGGACATTTCAATTTAAGAAAAAAAAAAATTTCTTTTGGGGCTACAGTGCTGAGAATCGAGGGTCTCACACATACCAAACAAGTGCTGTACCACTGAGCTACCTCCCTGGTACTGTTTCTGTTTACTTTAATATATTTTTATAATGTGAATAGAACACAATAGCCAGAACTTTACCATTAAAATATTGACATTTTAAATGAGTAACTCATAGTATAGTAATAGCCAATAGTAACTTACAAAATCTTTTAAGAGGAATATGCTCATCTTTAAATTTGCTCATCTAATTAATATGGAAAATGAAACTAATAAAACAAGTGTAAAGTTCTGATCATATAAGTTACTCCAGCACATTGTCAAGGTTATCTTACAAAACATATAAAAACATTGCCTCTGTTATTGAATTATTATTAAGAATGAAAAGAAACAAGTTTAAGTCTGGTGATCCTGGCCAACTATCAAGGACTACTGAGGACACAAATCAAACTGCCATGTCTTATCCTCTGAGTCAGATCTTTAACTTGTTGACCACAAGCTTCAGAATTGTATCTGGGGTTGATGTAGCTAAGAAGCACACCACCTGCCTGGCAGGCGCAAGGTCCTGAGTTTGATTCCCAGAATTTAAAAAAAAAAAAAAGAAAAAAATGTATCTTAAAAAAAAATGAAGACTTGAAGTAACTTTTCTTTATTGTTATCAGCAGATAAAGACATTTGTCTTAAGACTGACTTTTTTGAAGGTTTTAGAGTACAAATTGAGTGAATTTTTATGTGCTATCTTAGTATTACTGTGGCTATCTTTCTGTATTTTTATACTCTTTCTTACTGAAAATAGCTTCTCGTTACCATTAGGAAGCCAATGAAGAATTTCTACAACAAAAGCGTATTTCCATTTCAAAATCTATCATCTTTAAATAGTTTGTTCAGGAACTAACTTACTTTCTTTCTTTCTTTCTTTCTTTCTTTCTTTCTTTCTTTCTTTCTTTCTTTCTTTCTTTTTCTCCATCCAGGGACAGTTAAATAAGTACACAATGAGTTATTCTATTCCAGTTTCCACATCTATAAGGCACCAGTGCTAACCTATCCATATGAGGTTTGTGTATAAAACTTTTTAGATCTTTTCTGACACATATTAAATCTTTGGTCAATATTTATTGTTATGTAGGCTGGGAGGGTCTGGGGGCCAGCCTGCTGTGCCAGCCCTACCCCCAGATCATGCTGAGCCAGAAATTGAGACTGGGCATGGTAGCACACGCCTGTAATCCCAGCACTTGGGAGGCTGAAAAATAGGATCACTACAAGTCCAGTCTTTGTAGTGAGACCCTGTAGACCCTGTACTAAATACATTAAAAAAAAAATAAAATTATTTATTGTTACTAGTGTTACTGCTTTTAATGATCAAGTAAAATGACAGTTACTGTGGCCTGTGCCTATAGTCCTGGGTAATTCAATGTCCACAGCAGTATGATCCCTTAAGCCTGGGAGTTTGAGTCCAGCCTGGGCAACCTAGTAAGACCCCTTCTCCAAAACAAAAAAGAGAGAAAGAGAATGGTGGAGGAATTGTAGAATGTGAGCCCTTCCTGCCACTTGTAATATACACCACCTCGAGTATTCATTTCACTCTAAAGTTACTGCTCAAAGAAATACTACTCAAAAGTGAATATTTCTCTAACATAATTTTAACTCAAATTTAAGCTTAGATTTTCTATTGATAATCTATCAGATATTAGGATAAACATTTCTTGGATGATAATTTAGGTCAGTTAGATAAATGGGGCAGTAAGTGTCTCCTGTTTATGGAAGAACACAGTATAACCAGTGAACTACATTTTCCCAAGAATTTAAAAAAGAAAAAGAACAAGGAAATAATCAGTTTATAAGAAAAAATGGAGGAACAAATTAAGCTGCTGTAACCTTCACAGTCAAGGCTGTAGAAAGTTCTACAGAACAAATAACCTTGTTTCTTCAATAAATTATAAGGCAGAAAAATATGAAGGGGAAGAATATTATATTGAAAGTTTGGCTTTTTTTTGATGGGGAGGGTACATGGTGATTGAACTCAGGACCTTGTGCTTGCCAGGCAGGTGCTTATGCCTGCTGAGCTATCTCTCCAGCTCTGAAAGTTTTAAAATGTACCAACTAGTTGCATTGTATAGGCATTACTTAGATCTCTGTGAAAACAGAAGCAAGCAAGAAACAGGCATTTATGAAGCAGTTGGAATACTGAATAGGTATTCAGTACTTAGTGGGTTTTTTTATTAGATTATGATAGAAATATGTAAAATAACATCCTTTAATGAAGAATCATTTATGGATGACATGACCAGCTCTCTCATAGTTGCTTCTAAATAATATGAAGGATGGTGAGAATAAGGATCCAGGTGAAACAGGATTGCTGATGAGTGATGAAGAACAGATGCTGGCTTGAGGGACACAGGCCTTGAGAGTGATGTTTCTTTCTGGGTGTTACTAGGGATTAAGCTCAAGGCTTCACACATTGGAAGCAAGTGCTCTTCCATAAGCTACGTCCTCAGCCCCGTGATACCTCCTTTTGACATTTGATATTTCCCATGATAAAAATTGTCTAATTATGAATTCTTTCACTGTGTATTTTCTGATTTTATTTAGTTGCTTATTTATTTACAGAGACAGAGCCTTGCTACAAACTCATGAACCTCTTGTTTCAGCTTTCAGAGTGCTGGGATTATAGGCATGTACCACAAGTCTGTGCTTTTTCAAAACCAGTTTAATTCATTTTGATTTTATTATAGGTGGTTGGGTAGGATATTTTTAATTAATTTTGGGGGGGGGTTGGGGGTTTTTTTTAGAATATGGTACACAGAGGGTACAGGATCTTACTGCGTAGATTGAACTTGTAGTGATCCTCCTGTTTACAGCCTCCCAAATGCTGGGATTACAGGTACATGCCACCACACCTAGTCTCGATTGCCATCTCAGCATGTCCCAGGGGCAGGGCTGGCATGGCAGGCCAGGGGATCAAACTCCAGGCCCCTGTATCTGCCTAAGCAGGTGCTTTAATCCACTGAGCTATTTGGCTGGCCCTAGTTTTTCTTTGTTTGTTTGTTTGTTTGTTTGTTTTTAAATAATGAGAAAGGATCTTATGCTGTAATGCCCAGGCTGACTTCAAACTCCTCAGCTTATGATCCTTCTGCTTCAGCCTCCTAAGTAGATAGGACTACATGCCCAGCTAATAAATTGTGGTGGGAGGGAAGAGAAAGAGATTGGTTCTGGAGACAGAACCAAGGGCCTCTGCACTGATCTACAGTCCTAGACCTTTTATTTATTTTTTATTTTGAGACTCAGTTTCTCTAATATGTTTAACTAGGCTGTGCCTAAACTTGTAGTCTTCCTGTCTGAGCCTCTCAGAATGCTAGGTTTATAAGCACATACATCTATTCCAGCCTTAAAAAGAAGAAAACACCTAAAGCATGAAAGTATTCGATTCCCCAATTTTTGTAGTTCATGTTGTTTTATTTAAGTAAAGGTAAATTTACTCAGTATCATAAAGCATATATTTTGAAATGTCAGTGTTCATTCTTAGTCTTCTAAGCAGCAGCACATGGTTGAGTCATTCATTTTTAGAACAGTTTTCTAGAGTAAGAAATAAATCTTTGACCGTGAATGTTAAAGTTGACCAGTAAATGGATTAAAGCTCATCCTGGATCCCCTACCCACTAATACTAGAGATTGAACCCAGGGTGGAGGGTGGAGTTAACACTGAGTCAATACCCCTGCCATTTTAAAAATTTATTTAGTTATGTATTTATGTATTTATTTATTTTAGACAGGATCTCACTAAGTTTCCAAGGTGGCACCGCATCAACTTCAGCTTCCCCAAATCTGGGATTGCAGACATACCTGGTGTCTTCTAGTCTCATACTTCCACCAGTCAACTCCTAGTACTGAATTGCAATTGCTGTTTTTGTCTTCCTCAATAGGAGACCTCTGTGCTATCCTCAGAGAGCTGGCTGCTGACCTAACTGCCCCTGATGTCCAGGTGGCAGCATCTTCGTTTTTACTTCCACCTCTTTGTCATCAGGATGATCTTTTGAGGTTAAGTCCTTTGCTGCAAGAGACTGACCACAGATTTATTGAAGAACAGGTATGGTTATTTTTAAGGAACTCGGGTAGATTCGTTCTTTAAATAGTAATTTTTAAAATTTCATATACTCTTTATCCTTTCAGCTCCTGCTTGATAATGGGGTTTATTGTGGAAGCCTGGACTATGACCCTCATTCCATTTATCAGAAGAATGTAGAGGGAGATTCTGTACCTAAGCCCCTACCTCCAACACTGTCAGTTATTAGCTCTGCAGCTAAACTCTTCGGATTTGTCTGTGCCCATGCAGGAGAAACTCAGAGGTAAGTCTCTTCAATGGTTTACTTATCTCAAATATTAATATACAATTGATTCAGTGAATGCTTAATGGAGCACTCATGGGTAAAAAGAATGTTGCTAGAAGATCTAATTAACCTAAAGAATGTCTCAATAAATGACAGATAAAGACAAGGTAAAGGTTCTTGTCTGCTCACTTGACTGTCATGAATAAAAAATTATTAAATGACCCAAAACACTATTGTATATACAGTACTGTGCCCACTATTAGATCATTATCTAGCTGGCAATATAAATTAGAAGGTCAATAATGATGATTATTGATTTGCAAGTAATTGTTACAATGAAAACCAATTTTTTTTTTGCTTCTACCAGGTTTTCTTACTTTGGAAATTTTATGCAACCATTACAGGTTCAAATGTTGGTCTTCATATAGGTGGATTTCAAAACATGGATTCTGTCAGTTCACTTAAAATGAACTTTGAGCTACCAAAAAAAAAAAGTAAAGTGACAGATATGTTGAGAATGTGATTGTGAAAATCATTTTAAGGTGAAACTGTATACCCTAAATGGCTTTATTTGTCAATTTTACCCCATTAAAACTAGGAAAAAATTCAGAGTATTAAAGCAGTATTCCCCACAATGAAGTTATTTATATATTGCAAACATACACTAATTTTTAAAAAGGGAAGAAAAAGAACAAAAATAGTACTGTGAAGGGATTTCTCTGATATATGAAAATTTAAAATACAAGATGTTGCTCCCATAAAGAAATTTTGTTTTTCAAAACCAAGGACTAAAACAGGTATGGTGGCACACACCTGTAATTCCAGCACTTGGGAGACTGATGTAAGAGAGTTGATGTGAGTTTGAGGCCAGCCTGGGGTACATAGTGAGACCCTATCACTAAAAACTAAAAAATATTGATAAGATTTTTCAATGAGAATGGTAGTTTCTTCATTGATAGCTAAGCATAAGCTTTCTTAGGGATCAAAAATCACTATCCAGAAAATTTTGTTATCTAAGAAACTAAATAGGAAATGGACCTCTCACACAGATTATTCTGGCTAATAATTTTATAAATTATGATAATTCTCATGCATTTATATTCTCTCCATTTTTTCCTCTCTTTGTCCCCTCCTTCCCTCTCCCCCTCTGTCTGCCTTTCTTTCCCGCCCTTTCTGTCATGCTGGGCCAGCAATGCATTTGACTGTATCATTTTATATAGTTACATCTTTCTGAGGATACCAATTAGATTAAGAATTTGCCTTCAACTCATTGTAAGATTTAAATATTTTAGTCTTGTCAGCAATATATTTTGGAAAAAACTTCTTGGGTAGTTTAATTCCAGTGCATAAGAAAAAAAATGAAAATTAGGTGGAATATTCTTGGCTTTAGTTTTAAAAGAATGTTTTTCTCAAATTTATTTATAGCTTTTATATATATTGTAATTATAAAGTTATGGTCCAGTGATGTTTAAGACAGTATGTAACAGTATTATCAATGGATAAATGATATGAGGAAAATCATAGATGTCTAGAATATTCTAGTGTTATCCCAATTACAATGCTTGTTTATGGGAGATTTTTGAGAGGAGGCCTTATCTTTGCATCTCTACAGGTGAAAGATCTTAAAGGGTCTTTTTTTGTGTTTTGGGGTAGTTTTTTTGTTTGTTTGTTTTGTTTTTGTTTTTGAGGCAAGATCTTATTGTATGTTTCAGGCAGGCCTTGAACTCACTGTGTAGCCTAGGCTGGCTTCAAACTCACATGGATCTTCCTACCTCAGCCTTCTAAATGCTTAAAGTATCCAAATATTTGGCACACACAAAGCCCTGGGTTCACACTTCCTAGCACTGCCAAAAAGAAGAGAAAAAATAAAAAAGTATCTGTATTTAATAGATGAATATTTCAAACTATTTTGTGTTATTATGGTATCATGTTTATGATTGTGTTTTCTTTTCCTCTCTTATCTTCACAATGAGCTACATCCCCAGATCTTTCTTAATTTCTTATTTTGAAACAAAGTCTTGTTAAATTGCCCAGGTGAAACTCAAATTTGTAATCCTTCTGCCTCAGCCTCCCAAATGTTGGGATTACTGGCTTGTGTCACTGCTTACTTTAACTAGAATTCTGAAAATAAGCAAACTTTGCATTGTTAATATTAAAGCACTGAGATTAGGACAAAATATTTTATTATTGCTCTTGACTCAAAATATGATTTTTTTTTTCAAAACTATGGTTTAAAAAAAAAGTAATACAGTGGCCAGGTGTGGTGCGCACACCAGTAGTCCCAGTGCTTGGGATTCTGAGCCAGGAGGCTTGCCATGAGTTCAAGTCCACCCTGGACTATGTAGCTAGACCCTGTCTCAAAAAAAATTTACAGATATTTATGTTCATATTTATATGTACAATTTCCCCCAGAAATCTCATGCACAGATGAGTTCAGTTGCAGAATATGCTGTTGGGAAGAAGGGCATTGATTAGGGGGGGATCACTGAGGGCATGACCTAGAGAAGTATATTCTTATTCCTGCTCATTTTCCTTCATCTGTTTTCTGGTTGCTGTGGGTTGAACAGCTTTGCTTCCCAGGCATCATGCTAGTTCTGCCTTGGATGCAGCTGACTGTGGACTAAAACTGTGAACTAAAATAAACCTGTCCTCCTTTCAGTTATGGTTATTGGGAGTTTGTTCCAGTAGTGGAAAGTAACTAAGACAAAGTCAAAGTATATAATATTACAACAAAATTCTCAAGCTCTGCCATTAGGCAGTTTTAGTGATATGTGACAATTCCATTATATATTCCATTATATTCCAGATATCTAAGATATAATCTGATAATTTAGATCTTCAGACTTGTGGGCTTGATCATATAGTCGTCTTTAATTCTTTACATCATATCTACCCTCTATAATCTTCCTAGTGGGAAAATTAAGTCATAAATATGTCCTTGGAAAAAAGGCCTGAAATTTAGTAGTCTTGAACAATGGGCAGAAAAATTTATATGTAAGATACATATTTTATCATACAGTAGGGCCGACCAGATAGCTCAGCAAACTAAAGTGCCTATTTCGGCAGAGCACAGCAGCCAAGATTCAATTCCCAGCGTGTTGTGCGCATGCTGAGACTGATTGAGGCTGGGCCTGGTGGCATGGGCCTTTTGGGAGGCTGAACACAGGCAAATCATTGCAAGTCTAATCTACATAGTGAGACCCTATAGACCCTGCCCTAAATTCATTAAAAAAAAGAAAGAAAATCATATAATAAAAAGTGGCCTGTAAGTCCTAAACTAGGGAATTGGTTAAATAAATTCTATTGCCAGACTATTTGTAATGGCTATAGGAAATTTATTCAGTACAATAGCTAGTAAGATGAGAAAATCCTGTCATAGTGTTTAGGAAGAAAAACATAAGCAAGTTATTAAGAAGATATGTGTAATGTGACCCCAGGGTTTTTTTTTTCTTTTTTCTTTCTTTCCTTCTCTTTCTGCCCTTCCTTCCTTGCTTCCGGTTTTACGTTTGTCTGTCCATCTTTTTCGTCTTCTTTTTCTTTCACTGGGGAGTAACCCCAGGTCCTCAACCATGCTAAGCAAAAACTTTACCACTGAACTATATCTCCAGCCCTTTTATGTAATTTTATTTTGAGACAGGGTCTCACTAAATTGTTTAGGGTAAGGTTGAACCTGGATTATCCTGCCTCAGCCTTCCAAGTAGCTAGGATTAGAGATTTTTCTAAAAATTACTTCCATGCCAGTGGAAAAGTGTTTTTCCAAATTCTTAGTGCATCACCATTTTTATTATACTCAATGAATTGACTTTATGCATGCTGCTTTTCCAAATATATATGATTTGCACATAGCCTCACACCTTCCTTTTTCTTTTCTTTTTTCCACCATTAGACTTTTTATGATCTATCCATTTTGCTTTGAGAATAGAATTGCTATTTGGAACAGAACTGTATCTAAGCCTTTGAGCCTCATCACTATGACAGGGTTCTAGTTTAGGATTCAAGGACATTTTTAGAAGTACAGTAAGGTCAGATAAAATACCGTTTTTACCTACTCAATGCAATAATTGCCTTTTATATTCTACAAGTATATTTAAAAGCCTACTACAGGGGCCGGGGAGATAGCTCAGTAGAATAAGCGCTTGCCTGGCAAGCACAAGAGCCTGAGTTCAATCCCTGATTCTGCCCCAAAAAAGCCTATTACATACCAAACACAAGATACCAGAGGAATGAAGATAAATTATGAGGTTTAGTTAACTGATATAAGGGCAGTTTACATCCTGCAAAATGACTTCAGTGTTATTCTACCTTTCCTGATTTAAAGGTAGAGAGGGATGAAAGGAAATATTTGAGTTAAAATTAGTAACTCAGTTCTAGTTCCTAATTTCTAGGTGCTAACTTTTTTTTTCTTTTTGATTTTGGCAGAACCAGGGATTGAACTCAGGCCCTTGAGCTTGCCAAGGAAGTGCTTCTTCTACTGAGCCATCTCCCCAGCCCCACTTACATCTTTCTTTAAGGAAGAAATTGATTTAAAAATGCTTGTTTCATAATTATTTAGCTTTAATGTTACTATAAGGAATTTAAGCCGCTGTACTAGGGCTGGCCTGATAGCTCAGTGGACTAAAGCACCTGCTTAGGCAGAATGCAATGGCTGGGATTCAATCCCCATGTGCCATGCTGGCCCCACCTCTGGGGTGCACTGAGACAGCAGTTGACACTGTAATCCCAGTGTAATCCCAGCTCTTGGGAGGCTGAAAACAGGAGAATCACTATGAGTCCAATCTACATAGTGAGACGCTGTAGACCCTGTACTAAATACCAAAAAATAAAAAAATAAAAACCTCTGGACTATATGGACATGAAAAATGATTCATAAAACTATATAAATAACTGTTTCAACATTCAAACCAGACATTCACCCCAAACCAAAAATAATATGCTACATAGTATAGCCAGGAATGCTGCCACACACCTGTGATCCCAATTTAGGAGGCTATAACAAGAGGTTAAAGAGTTTAGAGCTAGCCTGGGCTGTAAGTAAATTACACTCTCAAACAACAGATGTAATAAAAATAACAGCAAAACCCACAGTTCTATAGTAATTTGTTGTCCAATACTGGGGGAATATTGTGCTTTCTTCAGTAGCACATACATTAATACTAGGAATTATGCATAAAAAGCTACGTCTTCAGAATTTTTTTAAAGAAGTTCTGGCTAAATTACTGAGTTGCCTAGGGTTGCCTTAGCTTCCTAGAATGCTAGGGTGATAGGTATGTGCCAGTACAGTTGGACTTTGTGGTAATCTAAAAGAATTTAGAATGCAAAGTTTAAATAACGCTGAGCACCCAGACCCATTCCCTCCCAAAAACATTCCTGTTTCAGAAGTCATAGATAAGCCAGTGTTAATGATATTAGCCTTAACACTTGTGTTGTATACCCTACTTCCCTCTTATATCATTATTAGCTAAGCAGCAATACTTGTAGTCTTACTGATTGCTTGTAGTTTGACTTGTGTTATACCCACATTGTGACTTTGCTACATAAATTACCCTTGACAAAGGGCTTCAGTGGCAACTCACTTGGGACTCCTGTATTTCAGGAGCTGTCTTTTAAGAAACCTTCCCTACTGTTGGATGGATGGATTTGTGGATGGATGGATGGATGGATGGATGGATGGATGGGTGACCTCTCTCCTTTTAAGAGTCCTTCATGTCCAGGTTCCAAGGGGGAAATGTTATTGGAACCTACTCAGTGCAAGTAACCTCTACATATTTTGTTTAGAAAGTAGTTACTAGAATAGCATATTTTACCTAAATGAGCTTTACTTTTCTTGAAACAGGATTTCACTATGCACTTCAAGCTGGCCTTGAACTCACTCTGTAGCATAGTCGTGCCTCATACTCCCAATGATCCTCCTACCTCTGCCTCCCAAGTGCTGGGATTACAGATGTGCACCACCATGCCTGGCCTCAAGTAAAATCTTTAAAAGGGCCAGCCAGATAGCTCAGTGGACTAAAGCACTTGCTTAGGCAGGTGCAGGGATGGGGATTCAATCTCCAGAATGCTGTGCTGGCCCCACCTCCAGGGCACACTGAGGCAATGATTGAGACTGGGCATGGTGGCACACACCTATAATCCCAGTGCTTGGGAAGCTGAAAACAAGAGGATCATTAGGAATATGATCTGTGTAGTGAGACCCTGTAGACCCTGTGCTAAATAATTAAAAAAAAAAAGTAAAATCTTTAAGTGATGCATTTGTAATTTTCACAAAACAATACTTTTTCTTTACTATCAGAATGACCCATAATTAAAATATTGTTCTATTGTTTATAATGTATTTTCTTTTCCTAAAGAATTCTATATTCAATAAGTTTATCTCATTTTAATAGTTCCAACAAAATAATGCAACAAAGCAAATTAGCAGTTGATTCTGATTTGCATTTGACTTATTTTGTCTTATAAATCTTTAAATTTTATTCTTTCCCATTTTAGCCTTCTTATATTGGCACAGCTTTCAAACAGAATAAAGCACACAAAAGGAGCTCGTCAGCAGATAGTTCAGTTACATGTTGTTTCTTCCATTTCTAATTTCTTGAAGGTAATCATTTTTTTAAAAAATTCAAAATTTGTTCAATTTTTTAAAAGTATGGCTAATTACATTGGTTGGAGGAGGATATTTTTAAAAGGTTTTGTTTCTTCATTTTTGTCTCTTGATGAAAATGTTTCAGGATTTAGGATTCTCCTTTTACTTTTTTCCACATGATACTAGGCCAAGAATTGGTGTGCCATTGGCCTGTGGATCAAATTCAGTTTGCTGTTACATATGTGACTTACTATTTCTAAGTACTGTATAGTAAGCTTCGCTGATCATTCCTTTTATAGATACCACTATTAATATTTTCCTTAACATTTTTATGCTACCATGATAATTGATTGCCATATTGTTTGCCTGAAGGTAAAATTCTAAAATGTTTCATGGGAGGCAAATTAAATTGTATGATCAGTATATACATTTTGTGTTCTGATTTTTTAAAAAATATAAGCATACTTAGTTCACCAGAACATAAATTTTAGACTAGATAAGAGAATTTGTTACATTTGTAGATTTGGATTATTGTTCATATATTTCAGTACATGGCTGGCTCCAAGGGAAGATTATGTTCAGAAGAAATGAGAAGACTTGCCCTAACGTTAGTGTTGGAAGCCCTGGAAAGTCATAACCCCCTTTTGAGATGTGCAGCTGCAGAGGCATGGGCTAGACTAGCCCAAGTGGTTGATGATGGAGCTTTTACTACTGGATTAGCTCAAGTTAGTTTTGACAAGTAAGTGGGAATTTCCTATTTTGATACTCATGAGTAGGGCTGGGGAGATAGCTTAGTGGTGTATGCAGTGTCTGGCAAGTGCAAGGTACTGAGTTCGATCCTCAGTACTACAAAAAAAAAAAATTAGTGTTAATACTCATGAGTGACATGTCAAAACTGGATATAAGCTTGCTGGTTTCTTGGAACTATCTAGAACTTCATTCTAAGATTAAGAAAAGAAAATTTAGAGGATCTTCCTATCTCCCTGCCCTCAATCCTCTCCATGTCTTCAGAATTAATAAAGGTACTCTCCCTTTTATTTCTTCTTCTCTGCTATGTCACCCCTGCTGCTGCTGACAAAACCTAACATTTTGGTGCTGTGACTCAGATCAGTGAGTTATCTAGCTCCCAGGCATCCCATGCCCTGCTTTTGAGCTCCCTCACTAAGCTGTCTTCTGCTTCTGCTTCTGCCTCTGCTAACTGCCATGGCTAGCTTGCATCCAACACTGGCCAATCTCAGTCGTCACTGGTGAGCCCAAACTCATCTTTCCGGGGGTCTTGCTTGTTTTGTTTCTTCCTCATCTCAAAAATCTTTAGGTCATGTTGCCCCCCCCCCTTCCACATCTGTCTAGGTCCTCACTCTGCTTTTTCTAGTGATGACTGCTAAAGCAGGTGTTGGTCTTCTCTCTCTCTCACATGCTGAGTTAGAAAGTGATGGCTTTCTAACAGAGAGGTGACATTGGGCTTTTGCCCTAATCTTTGGCTCACTTTAGTTCGGCCACAGTGGGAATTACTCCTTCCTGTCCTCCAAAGCACACTTCTGTTATTGCAATGGCATATGGCCAGAAATCCCTTAAAAGCCTTTGTTGACTCTGAAAAACACATTCCTCCTGGCTTCCTCCCTCTGTTATCCCCCCCGCCTTATCTGCCAGTACTACCCTCTCAACCCCTTCCTCCAGAAACTCTGTCTTGTCAATCTCTTTAGACCATGTCTTTATTCTATCCCCTATAGCAACATCTCTGCCTTCTTCTTCTGCTTCTGCTTCCCCTGTGGATTCCACCACTACTCTTTCTCCCCCACCACTCTTTCTTCCCCCATATCAGAACCTGTAGTCCCTCCTTCCACCTTTCTTCCTCCTGCATTCCTTACCTGCTCCTGTGCAATTAAACCTCCCCTAGCTGTACCACTAGCCTGCGACTATTCACTGTGTGGCCAGCTACCATCATCCTGTGCACCATGTGACCATCCACCCCTACCATGTGGTTGCTCCTCCTCTGACATCAGAGCACTAACTTGTGGCGCCAGTCGCATGATGGGTCCCCGCCATCTTCTGGGCCATGTGACCATCTGCCACCATCTTTTTTTTTTTTTTTTTTTTTTGGTGGAACCAGGGATTGAACTCAGGCCCTTGCACTTGCCATGGAAGCACTTATTCCACTGAGCCATCTCCCCAGCCCCTCTGCCACAATCTTATAGTGGTTCTTCTTGTGATAGCAATCTTGTAGTGTCTCATAACATGTTGAGCCACTGCCATCTTGCGGCCATTTCCATGATATATAGTAACTATAAATAAGAGGTTCTTGTTTTTCAAATTCTTATAAGAGATCTCTATTAATTGAGCTACAAAAGTTCTGACTAGTCTTTTTAAAATTACAAACTTAAGGTTATTATAATCTAATTTGGTCAAAAAATCAGAGTACACTCTGATTTTGTAAAGATGTTTGTGTGTTCTGTGTGTTTATATGCTTATATGTCATTCTCTGAACAGATGTTCCTCTTTTTATTTGAAGTTTGGAATATAGACTTAAAAACATTTTTCTGAGTTAGCAGCTGGTCTAAGTGATATCAGAATGGGTTTCCTCATAGGTCATCAAAATTTTTAAGGTTAATTAAATAAAATTCATTAAAATGGGGAGAGATTTATTAGACAGGACACCAGTTGGTGGAGAGAGGGGTGACCAACCTATGCTTATTAATAAGGAGCCTCTCACTAATCTCCACAGGCTCTTGGGAAGACAGCCCCAATAATTTGGTCATTGGTTAAAAGATCAAGTTTGTCAGAAAAAAAATTAAGGTTTTCTCCTAAAAGATGCTCTTAACATATGAAATGTATTTATGCCTTCCAAATTTACAATACTGGGGCTGGGGATATAGCTCAGCAGAATAGCTGCCTACCTGCCAAGTGTACAGTATTCTACAATGTAAATTTTATTTTAGAGTTGAACATATTCCTTTCTTTTATGCTCTAGATATTTATAATAAGAGGTTTATATCAGGCCAACATGAGGTCATCAAGTATTTCATCATGACTATTATGCTATACTACTGTGTATACTTAGTTGGGAGCAATACACTTAATTATTAAAATTTTATCTATGTATTAAGCACCTTAAATATGAAGCCTAACTAGAAAACTACTACTTCTTACCAACCATGGATATTCTAGTAGTTAAATCACTGTAGAATGTTGACAGACAACAATTATACTTTTAAAGAGAACATTTGATATCAATATACTAATGTAGATCCAGATCCTCCTGAAGGAACAGTTGTTATTAATTCCTATTTTATATCCTGATCCACTCCTGACATTTGTGCCAAGCTTAAAAAGACAGATCTTGGTTCCCATCCCCACCAGGGAGACTTAATCTGGCTTTCTGTGTCTTCAATAATAGAGACAAAAATTAACTATACACAGTGCCACCTTTTTACTGTGACACTCAAGACTCCCATCAAAGTAGGAGATAGGCAAGGTGATGCAAAACCTAAACAAAATGGTACCCCCTGAAGCCTTCCTGGCCTTGAAGTGTGGTGAAGAACACTGGACACAAGCCTGCCCCAACCTGCAGCCACCACTGGGACCTGGTCCCATCTACAAGTTTTGAGGATGACTGAGTACTGTGCTGGCAATTACTGAGGGACTCAACCTTCAGCTCCTCATTTCTCCCAAGAAGCTGGGACAAAGGGACTCAAGTCCCAACACTCTAATCAGTCCTGGTCCTCTTTGAGAACCAACTCCTCCACCCCAAATCTATTAGGAATCTCTAGGCAGCAGTCATCTCATTAGCATACTAAGACACATGACTTTGCAGATATCAGAATTACTATGGTCCAGAAAACAAGGAAAGTATGAAGGAAGAAACAGGCATTTAAACTAAGAGACTATCTTTGGGCATGGTGATCTACTTTTATAATTCAAGCACTCAGGAGACTAGGCAGGAGGATTTCCCTGAATTGAAGGCCTGCCCGGGGTACATAATGAGTTCAAGACCAGCCTGAACTATATAGACCTTGTCTTAAAACTCAAAATCAGAAACAAATAAAAGCTAGGAGACTAAGGTATGAGCCCGTAGGAGTTCAGTGTAGGCTGAGATAATGCAGCAAGATCCTGTTTCAAAAAATTAAATAAGTATATAAACTGAAAGAAGAATATATAAAAAAATTGCTAGGGGTTGTGGTCCATGTTTGTAATCCCAGTTATTTAGGAGGAAGAAGCAGGATTCAAAGTTTTAGTGTAGTATTTAGTGAGACCGTCTCTAAAACTAAAATTTTGGAAAATGTCCATGGATGTAACTCAGCACTCCCTGGCTTATTCCTCAGTGCTGCAGGAATGAAATAAAGAAAAACTGACATATATGGTCACTTTAAAGCAAAGGAAAACCCGTTTGGCCTGCTGATCCAGGTGTAGGTGGCATATGCCTATAATCCTAGTGTTCAGGAGGCTAAAGAAGAGGGACTGTGAGTTTGAAGCTAGCCTGGGTTTCAGTGCAAGACACTGTTTCAAATCTGTCACACACACACACACACACACACACACACACACACACACAAAATTACTACATCTTTTGTTTATATGTATGTATGTATTTTGAGATAGGGTCTAGTTCAGGCTGGCCTCAAACTCACCATGATTCTCCTGCCTCAGCCTCCCAACTGCTGGGATTACAGTTGTGCCCCACTATACCTGGCCTAGTCTTTGTATAGCAAGAAAAAGAAAGATAACTGTTATAAATGTTTTAACCCAAGACTCAAGTCAGCAACTTCTGACATTGCCAGTCCTGTGGGTAACCCACCACTATTATGGACTACTGGACTATATTGTATTACTTTGCTAAATTCATGCAACTACAATATTTGAATGGCAGTGGAATACCCATCTCTGACATAAAGAAACCAAAAAAGGGGGATGTAAATGAAGGACCATTTTGTAGTGAAATGAATATATATCTGTATATATAAAATAGTATTAGATATACAGCTACTTTCTCTTAGTTCAATGAAAAGAAAGATTTGTACTAATAGTGTTTAGACAAGATATCATGTCTGCATCTTGTACTATGGATAACTACTACGAAGACAACAATATGCAATGTATTAATTATTGTACAAGAATAATGTCCTACTAACCTGTTTTGAAAATGTCTCAATGCTATTACTTTCTCAATAAAATTAATTTTAAAAATAAAAAAAATAAAAATAAAAAATAAATGTTTTAACCCTATTAATGGAGTAGACTCTAGGTTAGAAAGAAATTTATACAGTTTTATGTTGTGAGATAGAAATGATAGTAAGAATAGACTATAGGAAGATGAAAAGCTCTAAAATGTAGACCAGGAAGCATAAACTTCTCTTGTTTCTAGTTCTTTAGGTTTTGGTAGATTACATTTTCCTCTCATCCAGTTTCCCTTTATTCCAAGTAGAAGTGTATCAATACTGTATTGTCCTACCTCCTTAGAAAGATTGAGGTGATAGGATACCAAAGCAATTACAAATAAAAGTTTATGGTTTTAAGATTTTGTACAGGCCAAGCTACATAGCACACAGGTGTAGTCCCAGCACTTGGGAAATGAAGATGCTGCTTGCCTTATAAACCGTGTGTGTGTGTGTGTGTGTGTGTGTGTGTGTGTGTGTGTGTGTGTGATCTATCTGTCTGTCTGTCTGTCTGTTGAAACTGGTTAAACTAAAGCAACAATGTGAAGACCTTTTTAATTAAAAATGTTTTACTTTGTAAGATAACTATCAGCTTATTTCAAGATTTTTATCAGTTCACAGTAAATTTGTTTCTTAATTTTGTCAATATTCTTATAAAAAGTTTCACCTGAATGACAAATTTTAAGCATTAGTTTTTGGTTTGCATTGCTTTGTTTTGTTTTAAGTACTTGTCACTTACTTTCATTTCCTGACTCTGACACCAGATTGAAGTCAGCAAGAGATGTAGTTACCAGAACAGGACACTCACTAGCTTTGGGATCCCTGCATAGGTATCTGGGAGGAGTAAGTTCGCAACACTTGAATTCTTGCATTGGAATCCTTTTTACTTTGTCTCAGGACAGCACATCTCCTGATGTGCAGGTAAGTACCTTATGTGAGACCTATAGATTATTCACATTATTTTACTGACCATTAAAGCTGTGAGTAGGGCCAAGGGAATAGCTCAGTGGCTTAAGTGCCTGCCTGGCAAGTGCAGGGCCCTGAGTTCAATCCCTAGTACCAAAAAAAAAAAAAAAAACCAACTGTGAATAATGCCTCCCCACCCCCAGCCAAACATGGTGGAGCACACCTGTAATTCCACCACGCAGGAGGCAGAGGAAAGAGGACCACTCTGATTTTGAGGCCAGCCTAGGTTACATAATGAGTTCAAGGCTTGCCTAAACTACGTAGAGAGACCCTATCTCAAAAAAAAAAGAGCCCCCATAGTAAATGTCAAAGCATCTGTTAATGTTGATGAATTCTAAAGTTTAAGACCAGGTGTGACGACACATGCATGTAATCCCAAGACTTGGAAGGCAGAGGCAAGATGATTGCCATGAGTTCTAGGCCAGCCTGGGCCATAGAGTGTTTTCAAGGTCAGCTTGAGCTATAAAACAAGACCCTATCTCAAAAAATAATAATAGAGGGCCAGGGAGATGGCTCAGTAGAATAATAATAATATAATAATAATTATTTAAAAAATCTATCTTCTCACACTCAGAGTATGTAAAGTCAAGTTCAGTATCTTTTTCTGAAAGTGAATCATTTTTCTATCATAGTAACACTTAACTATTTTGGAGCATTTAATAGATACTAGTCATTATATCCTAAATATTTAGCATAATTATAAGGGTTATTTTATAGATATAGTCCCTTAGAGATAAAATTGGAGGTTTAGGAATGTAATAAGTAACTTAGTCACAGCTAGAAAGCTAATCATGGAATCTGGTCCTGACACAAATCATCAAAACCCATATTTTTTGCTGTCATGCCATATTGTTGTACATGTATTACCCATTTCCATAAAATTATTACAGTAGCTGGGCATGGTGGTACACACCTGTAATCCTAGCACTCGAGAGGCTGAGGCAGGAGGGTTGCCATGAATTTGAAGCAAGCCTGGGCTACATAGTGAGACCCTTTCTCAAAAAACAAATAAGTAAATAAACTATTACATTACCTATGATCAGTAAAACCATTATTCTTTTGATGTCCTAGTGAACTGGGATGAGTTCAGTTCTTCCAGTTCTTTTACTTTCCTTATCTTACCTCTTGTTAGTTTCACACATTATCTCTGATAACTATAGCAGCTTCCTAATAGGCAGTTATTTCTAGATTCTTTTACTATTTCTAGATTCTGTTATTTCTAGGTTCTTTTCTTTAGTCTTTTCTAGAGATGAGCTCAAAGTTGTTTGTTTTTTCTTAAAAAAAAAACAAAACAAAAAAACCCTTCATTTTAACCACTCATCCTATTGAAGATCTGGGCAAACTTCTTATAGCTTCTTTAATCTACTTCTCCTTCCAGTCCCACCTGCTGAGCCAGAACCTTGTCTGTTATTCCCTAGGTTCTGGCTTCTGCAGGTGATCCCACTTTCCTTCTGCTTGTGTCATTTTCATAAATGCTGTTGTTGTTGTTGTTGTTGTTGTTGTTGTTGTTGTTGTTGTTGATATAGGGTCACACTGTATAGCTAGGACTCCTAGTGATCCTGCTGCCTCAGCCTCCCTAGCACAGGGATTACAGGTGTGTGTCACCATGCCCATTTCTGGGGCCAGCACAGCATGTGGTACCAGGGATCAAACCTGGTTCCTTGTACTTGCCAGGCAGGTGCTTAGACCGCTGAGCTATCTCCCTAGCCCTCTCAGAACTGCTTTTAATGTGTTCGGTACAGGATCTCACTATGCAGCTCAGACTAGTAATTCTCCTGTTTTCAGCCTCCCCAGCACTGGAGTTACAAGCATGTGCCACCATGCCTGGACTCAGTGGCCACCTCAGCACACTTGGGGGCAGGACTGGCATGCCATGTGGTGCTGGGAATCAAACCCCGGCCACTGTGCTTGCCTAAGCAGGCATTTAGTTGGCTGAGCTATCTCGCTGGCCCTCATAACTGCTTTTAAGTTTATTTCCTTTGACTCTTCTCCTTTCCTTTCTTTCCTGATAGCCCAGATTTTTTACTATTTTAAGATTGAGTTTAACCTCCATCTCATCAGACTGCAATACCTCTAATCAGTAGTTCTCCTCTGCATTACCACATTATTAAGTATCTTTCATGTTGTCTAGCACCTGCCTGAACCTACTTACAATTTCAGTGAATGTATGGTGAGGTTTGGTTCACTTAAACCAGAGTACATGTTAATAAATGTTATTGACAGTGCACTCGTCCTAAGTGTGCATATGAACATGAATGCAGTATACAAACATACACTGTGTAATGAGTACCCGGGTCCAGAAACAGTGTATTATCAGTACCGCAGACATTCTTTACATGCTGTCTTCCAGTTAACTATATGACCCATCAAGAATAGAGGCCATCCTCCCTTACAGTAGCATAAATTATTTTTGCCTTCTTTTACACTTTGTAAAATGGTATGTTCTTATGCCTGGCTCGCTTCATTCAACATTATGTTCAAAGTGTTTATCCATACTATATATATATATTTGTTGATTTGGTTGAATATTTTTGAAAACTTAAATTTTCACTTTTTCTACAAATTAAACAATAACTATTTTCACCACAGCATATTTGATTTAGGCTATTAGATAAAAGACCAAACATCTTGGAATTACAAGGCTGAGTTATATAAAATGCATCACTCTAAATTTGGTCATTGAGTTGGTTTTATACTGGATATATTAGATATTTTTAAAAAAAGAATTTTCTTAAATTCTTAGGTTCTCCATTTCTCTTTCCAAATTAGTCGAAGAACATGTAAACTTTGCTTTGCCGTTAGTTTATTACTTTCTTCAACAAACAAGTGAATGCCTTCTATGTTTTTAAATTCAATATTAATAGATTTGTTTTGCCTTGTCTTCACAGACTTGGGCTCTACACTCGCTGTCACTTCTAATTGATTCTGCTGGCCCACTCTTTCATGTGCATGTAGAACCTGCCCTTTCTCTCATTATAATGTTGCTGTTAAATGTGCCTCCTACTTATGCTGAAGTTCACCAAAGTCTTGGACGTTGTTTAAATGCCCTTATTACCACATTAGGTCCAGAGCTACAAGGTATGTGTAAGCTTCTTTTGTGCTATTTTACCTAAAAATGTACATGTAAAAAATGAATTTGTTGGGTGGGGGAGATAGCTCAGTAGTATATGGGGCCTAAGTTCAATCCCCAGTTCTGCCAAAAAAAAATTAAAAAATTTAAAAAAAAGCATTTGTTTCTTAGTCTGCTTGGAACATGGTAGATGATCAGTATGATTTGTTAAATGAATATATAAATATCACTAAAATTTATTTCATTTACCTTATTTAGAATGGTATGTCCTGGGGCTGGGGAGATGGCTCAGTAGAATAAGCGCTTCCCTGGCAAGCGCAAGGGCCTGAGTTCAGTCCTCGGTTCTGCCAAAAAAAAAAAGAAAGAAAGAAAAGTACGTCCTAATGATGCTTCCATGTTTTTAGTCCTGTCTACTTGGGAAGGCAGAATGAGCCCAAGCTCCAGGCCAGTCATCCTGGCAACTTAGCAAGATGCTGTTGAAAATTAAAAAAAAAAGAGAGAGAGAGAGAGAGTTGGAATGTATTGTTTTTTGTTTTTTGGTTTTTTTGCGGAACCGGGGATTGAACTCAGGCCCTTGCGCTTGCCAGGGAAGTGCTTATTCCACTAAGCCATCTCCCCAGCCCGAGAGTTGGAATGTTGTTGCATGCTTGTGATCCCAGCACTTGAGAGGCAGAGGATTACTGCAAGGTTGAGGCCAGCCTGAACTACAGTGAGTCCAAGGCCAACCTGAACTGGACAATGAGACCCTGTCTCAAAAAAAACCAAAACTAAATGAGAGGCCAGGGAGGTAGCTCAGTGGCTTAAGCACCTGCCTTAGTTGGATCCCTGGTGATTGATAGATAGATAGACAGACAGCCAAGACTGATTACAGATGGTAGTTCATTGACAGAATATTGTCTAGCATGCACAAGACCCTGGCTTCAAGCCCCAGTACTTCCAACCAACAAAAGAAAACCCCAAAAAAGAAGCCCTCAAAAATTACAGACTTGAAAGAGAGTAGCTTAAAGAGCTCTGATCTTTTATTTAATAAATAAATGAATAAATCCAAAAACTCACATTTTGACCTGTTCAAATTACATAGTACATAACTATAATACTTGAAAGCAACACAATAAGCAGGGCTAAGTTTATTGGCAATTTCTAATTCAACTTTTTATGAAAATTTGCTAAAACCTATAACCTTAGATTATTCTTTGCCTAATGATTTGTGTTGTAAATAAAAATCTCAATTAAGCATAAGAAAATTGCCCAGCATGGTGGTGCTGTAGTATCACATTTAGGACGCTGAGGCAAGAGGATTGCCATGAGTTTGAGGCCAGCCTGCACTACCTATTGAGACCCTATCTTAGAAAAAAGAATAAGGAAATCAAAATATTTATCTAAATATTTGCGATCGTCTCTGCTGGGGTCGGGTGGGAATGGGTAAGAATTGAACCCATAGCCTTGCACATGCTCAGCCACTGAGCTGCACCTCTAGCCTCTGTTCCACTTTGTAGCAGACATCTTGCTTTACACAGATCCTCAGGTTTAAAACTGCAAATAAATTTTAAACCTGATAATATATGTTTAAAGAGTAATAATTTTATAGGTCAATTAGTATATGTGCTGCCGAAGCAAGCACAAGGCAGACCCGGGACTCGAACCTACGACCTCTCGCTGTAGAGCCTAATGTGTAAACCACTACGCTATCTCTCCAGCTTATAATAGGTCAATTATTAAAACTTTTGGCATTTACTTCAGTTAACAGTACTTCAGTTTCTACCTTGAGGACTTCTTGTCTGTTGGGTTGTGCAATTATGCAAGATAATCCAGACTGCCTTGTTCAAGCCCAGGCCATCTCTTGCCTTCAGCAGCTTCATATGTTTGCTCCACGACATGTCAACTTGTCTAGTCTGGTTAACTGTCTTTGTGTGAGTATAAAATTATAAATGAGCTCTCAGTTTCTTTTATTTGAAATTTAGATTTATTCTAGTTTAATTGTTTTTGGTCTATGTATAAAATAATATGTTATGTACCTATTTTCTTCTCATCTCTTTTGGAAACGAGGAAGGAACTTTCATATAGTCACCTTTTAAATCATGACTTGATTTTTGTCTATTAATTTTTATGACTATTAAGCAGTAAACATATATTGGGTACTTATGTATAAAGGGAATGTATAAATACAGTAGACATGTAAATATTTATGATAATCTGTATTTTTCTTCCTCTGTTCTAAATTATTATATACCAAGGTTTTTCTGTTAAGCACTTTTCTTTAATATTCTAGCAACATATGCATTAATATCTGTATTCTAATAATGTATCAAGAAATGTGGTAAAATGAAGGCAGCCAATTCAAAAGTTCTAGTGAAATGATTTATAAGCAGGGGCCAGGGAGATAGCTCAGTAGAATAAGTGCTTGCCGGGAAAGTGCAAGGCCCTGAGTTCAATCCCTGGTACCGCCAAAAAAGAAAGAAAGAAAGAAAGAAAGAAAGAAAGAAAGAAAGAAAGAAAGAAAGAAAGAAAGAAAGAAAGAAAGAAAGAAAGAAAGAAAGGATTTATAAGCATAATTGGTTTTAAAATTTTCCTTGAGCATAGCCAGTTTTTATCTGTATTTGCCTTAAATTTTAATTGTATTCAGGATTGTAGCCTGACACCATTGCTTTTTCAAGTTTTCTGTCCTCAACTACCATGAGAAGCATTACTTTATAGAGTTTTATTTTCAAGACTAAGCAAAAATGTATAGCATTTCAGAGACTAAAGAACCTCATAATCTGAAAATCTGTCACATATATTGTCCTTGTTTGTGTAGAATGTTTGCATCATTAAAACCAGTCTTAATAAAAGGATTATCTGTAGACCATAAAATCAGATAATTTGCTTAAGGGACCATGTCTAGGTGGTGGTAGTTAATTCTTAGACTCCAAGCTTTTGAACTCTTTATTCAATTATTTAAAAAAAAATCATTCTCAACTTTAGGGGGCTTGTCAGTTAGCTCAGTTGTTTAAAGTGCGTGCTTGGGCAAACCCAGTCAGGCACAGTGGACCGTGGTTCAATCTCCAGCTCCACATGCCACACCAGACCCGCCCTTAAGGCAGCCTGAGCCAGCCAAAAAAAAAGAAAAAGAAAAATCTTTCATTCAGTCATCATTTTATTGTTTTATGGATTTTACTACTAGATCATATTGCCAGTCCTAGCAGTGTGGCTGTAGGGAACCGCATGACCTCTCTCATGAGCCCCTTTAGCTGATTTGTCTGTTTCACAAGATGATTGTGTAAGATGTTGCATATAAAGGCACCTAGCCCAAACATTTAGCTAGCACTTAGTAGTGGGTTTTATTATATTGACATGTATCTTAAGTATACATGGTATTAATTATCAATGCTGAAAGTTACATATGAAAGTTGGAAAAATGTAATGGACTTTTCTGGCAGAAAATTCTGTTTATTTTCTTAGATTAGGTCAATTGTATATGAGGGGAAATAGCACTTACAGGATAGACTTTTATCTTTCCCTTCAAGCACCTTAGCCCAGGAATATTATTCTTTGTATTTGAAGAATCATTGCCAAAACCAATTATTGGAAAGATTTCCAATCCTTTGCAAATTGATCTGACATTTATCTTCTAAAAATAGTGATGCTGCCATTCTTCTTGAATTGTAGAAGTTTCATTCATGGCTTTTTAAAATTTTTCCTTTCTCTTATATATGAATTCAGTTATTAAAGTGTATTGAGAAATGAAGGATAAGACTAACAGTAATTGGGGCTGAAGAGACAGCTCTACAGTCTTAAGCACCTGTCTGGCAAGTGCAAGGACCTGGATTTGATCCCCAGTACCACCTGCCATGCTAGTCCCAGAACCCCAGGTGTGCCATGCTGGCCACTGAAACCAGGCGTAGTGGTACATGCCTGTAATTCCAGCGCTGGGATAGACTGAGACAGGAAAATCACTATGAGTCCAAGCTTCACAGCGAGACCCTATACCAAATAAATAAGTGATTTTTAAAAATTGTTAAGATGATTAACAATAATTAATGATGAATAAGATCTCATCAAATTCATTAACTTATTTCCTTCTGCAGACTTGGGGAGAAAAAAGTACATACAAATAAGAGACTGATTTTTCTTTTAGCTCCATTGAGCAGTAGAGGAAATCTGTAGTAATCATTATAAATCTTATATGTTACTCATAATTTTCAAAGTGTATGTGGATTTTTTTCTTACATAGAAATCATATTCAAAAATAACAGTCATACTAGGCGTGGTGGTACACACCTGTAGTTCCAGTATTCAGGAGGCTAAGACAGAATGGTTGCCACCCTGGACTACATTGTGAGTTCAAGGCCAGCCTGAACTACATAGTGAGAGTCTATGTAGTCTGTCTCAAAAAAACACACTACACTATATGTCTTAATATTTTAGTTACTAATTCTAAACTCATTAGAATTTATTATATTTTAGAATATTCTCAAGGAAATTCTATTTCATCTTTAGGCAAGAATCATACTATAAAGATTTCCTTGTAACTGCTTGCTGTTATAACTTCCATTCTGAACTTGGCCTTAGCTACACTAGCAATTCTAAGTACTGTCAGTTTTAAGATGTGGCTTGCAAGTGTTTTAAAAAAAAATCTATAATTAACTTCTGATGAAGTAATACATTGATTTTGTCTCCTGCCAGACACCTGTTCTTTGGGAGTGCAGTCCAGGGAGTGCAGTGAGATCATTCTTCTCATAGACATATCTGCTGGGTCTGGTTCTGATACTGAGCTTAATTAGAGATTCCAAAGGAAGAGCTAATTACTCAAATGTACATATTAAGAGTATTGTGTATTTTATATCTTTACACCTTGGAATTCTTGAATTAACTATTCTGAAGATCTTAGTTCCACTCTTAAGTTGGAAAATAAAGTATTTATGCCACACTCAAACTGGAGTTAAGCCAATTTAAGCAATAACTTTATCAATATTTATATTTTAATGTTTAGCTGATTGTTGTCAAAGTCATCCTAGTATTTATCCTTTGGTTTTGTCATGACTGGTCTGTCATTTGTTTTTGTGCAGGAGATCTTATTGGATAATTCTGTGTTGGTAGGTCCCTGACCCTTGCTTCCTAACTTTTTTTGAAATTTGCATTTGCTGTTTGTGTTGTTTTTGATTGTAGCTGTTTCTTGTTTACCTCTGCATCTATATGTTTAAGCTAACCATCAATGTAAATTCCAGGATGTGTAGCATGTTACATGGTGCTTATTTAATACCAGTGTAAGCATATTGTACTAAACCTCCAGCTGGAGCATTCACTTCATGCACTGCATTTTGCATCATTTTCATTTAATATATTCATTTCAGAAAAGACTTGTACTTAATAGTTTGATTTGATTTCTGCATTTTGCCTGCTTTGTTTGTCTTAATTACTCTCTTCCTCTTCCCAATTTAAATGCTGGAGAATGACATGGAAATATTAAGCCTCTGTTCTGCTTTGTGTGACAACCTCCTATCTTTTTTTCTACCAAAGTACACCTAAGCATGCTTTTTAAAAGATTGTTTAACTGGCCTAAATAAATGCTGCACCTGCCTTGTATTATGTGCTTGTAAGGATCCACTTAAAATAACTAGTGGATTAATTAACCTTTTTAAAAAATTCTCTTGTAGAATGCTTTGTCATTATTAAATACAGCAGTAATCTTGGGCATGAGTGAGCTTAATCTCTGTATATTTTAATTTCTCTGTTATCCTGTGTGCTAGTTTCTAACAACTGAAGTTGCTAAACATGACTGGAATTACATTTGTATGAGAATGCTGTGAATAGTATTCCTCTCTATATACTTTTGAGTCAATTGTATGGGTCAAGGGTATAATAGAATATAGTTAAAAAGAAATTCCCATCTGTATGTTTCAGTAATGATAACTTTAACTTTCTCTGGCTTTTATTTTTTCCTTCTGATAAAATTTAGGATTCAGCTGTCTTTGTATGTGGTTCTTAAACATTAAAAACTAGCTGCAAACAACTAGCCTTTTTTCCTCAGTATTTAGGAACTACTCTTCACAGCAAATTGACCTATTTCAGTCCTATTTTTCCCACATATGCCAAATCACCAGCAAAATCATGCCATTATTTCTCAAATTTTGCTTTGAAAAAAATGACCATCAGAGATACATTGCTGGGCATGGTGGTGCATGGATATTAAATCTAATAATTGGGAGGCTAAGACAAGAGATTCACTGGAAGTTCAGGTCCAGTGGGGGGTACATGATGAGTTCAAGACCAGCCCAACCTACATGACAAGGCTTTCTCTCAAAAACTGAAAAGATACACATTAATCTGGGGATGTTGGGACCGGGGAGATGGCTTAGTGGAATAAGCGCTTCCCTGGCAAGTACAAGGGCCTGAGTTCAATCCCCGGTTCTGCCAAAAAAAATCTGGGGGTGTCACTTGTGGAAGAGCACAGGCTTAGCATGTATAATGCACTGGGTTTGATCTCCAGCACACCCCAAAAGGTGCATATTTATTGTTACAGAC